AAACACATTTTCAGTTCTAAGAACTAAATTAATATGAGCAATCATTTTAGAAATGTTTAAACCTGAGTGTAAAATGACTTGTGAGCAGTTTTATCTTTATTGAATCCATTGACTGTTATGATTCCTCTAGCAAATAAAAGTTAGTATAATTCTTTAATGCATTAATAAAAATATATTAAATGATAGAATATTTAATTAAAAGTAATTGTAGCTGCACTTTTATTCTAGTTTAAAATTGGATATTTTCACTTTTGGGCTCATATTTTCACATTTGGGCTCATAGTCTATTGTGTAAAGAAATTGTTCTTTGAATTTTAGATTTTAATATTAATGGCAAGCTTTAGTTAAATGATTTTTTAAATTTGAATTTAAAACACCTGCTTGGAAAGTAATCCTCTTGCACTGTATGCAGTGAAGTATTAAATGGACTCCTTTACTGCTGCTTATGTTTTGATCTTCTAGCTTGCCTAGTAGAATTAAAGATAAAAGATAACTTAAAATTTGCTTTTAATAAACACAAATACTTTAAATTTAGTTTAGTTTTGGGGGTTTTTAGCTAAACAGTTTTTTTCTTAACTGAATCAAATACAGACATTTGTGTAGTATTTCAGAGACCCTTTAGTCACCTAGGATGTGGTAAAGATACTACTTCAAAGCCAAAACAGTGCTTATTGCAACTAAAAAAAAAAAAAAAAAGGCATTAACAACTAGAAACTCAAGTTTAAACAGCTATACGTTCTTGTTTTTAAGAGAAACCTGAGAATAATATTTTTGTGAAGCCTAACAAAATCTGTTGACACTGTGCTGATTCCAAGTTTTAAGTTGTCATTGATTCGTAGTGTTTCCTTTCCCTTTTCAGTAAAGCCCAGAGCGCTGAAAGCTAAGCTGATGTTTTCTTTTATTAGTATCTAGCTTGAGAGCAGTATTAGTTCTGCCCTTCTTAAGCATAAACTGGCTTTGTGTATATCTGGAAAATGGAATAATCTTTCATTCAATGTTGTAGTCACATCTCACCTTTTCTTAGGGTTATTGCAAGATAAGCGAATGGAGATGGATAAGCATGGCCTCAGTGTTGGAGATTACAATCGTGTGGTTGGAAAAGGCCCTGGTTCTCGTCCTCAAATTTCCAAAGAGTCTTCCATGGATCGTGGTCCTTACTTTGATAAGGTTAGTGGGTGTCTTACTGGTGGACACTTCTAAACTTCATTGACTCTGCATTCTAAGTAGTTATCCGTGTGCTCCTTAACTTTCTGCATTTAGTAGAGAGGAAAACTAGGGCTTTCTTGTTAATCTATAAGATATGTTTTGTTCTTTTTAACTTACTGATATATAATACTAAGCACTTTCTGTAGCCGATTTGCAGTGCAAATGACTAACCTGATCTCTTTTGTTTTCTGCCTATTTTCTGCTGGTGCTGGACTGTCATGTGACTCTTCCCTTCTGTTCCTGGCAATGGTTTCTCCCTTCTGCTTGCTTGCTGGCTGGTTGTTGCGCATCGGTTTGTCTGTCCAATCAGGATGGCATTGTAGCAGACGAGTCCCAAAACATGCAGTTTATGTCCAATCAAAACATGAAGCTTCCCCCTTCAAATAATGCACTACCTAACCAAGCCCTTGGCTCCCTAGCAGGGCTGGGTATGCAAAACTTGAATTCTGTTAGACAGGTAAGGCTGTGTGCATATCCTTGGCATGTTACTTGACAGCATTTAATACCTTTTGATATAACATCCTTGCTACCTATGTGATTGATGTGTGTTTAACTTCTAATTCAAATGTATAGGGGTGGGAGAAGCAGCAGAAGAGGTTTATTGTCACTAATTGTCCATCCTTTCCCCAGAATGGCAATCCCAGTATGTTTGGTGTTGGTAATATAGCAGCACAGCCCAGGAGCATGCAGCAGCCTCCAGCACAACCTCTTAATTCATCTCAGCCTAATCCACGTGCTCAAGTGCCTCCTCCATTACTATCCCCTCAGGTAACTGAGTACATAGAACATTCTATGTATAAACTGCCAAAATGCTGCTTCAGAAAATTGTGGTTTGCTTATTGGTGTTGCTGATACTTAGTCTGTAAGTATTTGAAAACCTATTTGGCTTGATCCAGTTAACCAGAGGTTATAATATTCTACATCTAGTATAACTAATTGCATGTTACTGTCAGTCACTCTTCATACTGGTCCATTTTGCAGGTTCCAGTATCATTACTGAAGTATGCACCAAACAACGGTGGCCTGAGCCCACTTTTTGGCCCACAACAGGTAGCCATGTTGAATCAACTGTCCCAGTTAAACCAGCTTTCTCAGATCTCCCAGTTACAGGTAAGCTAACAAAGCTAGTCGCTCTGTGTTCTGTTTGAAAGTCTAAGTAGAGACTTATGTCAGCTATAAACTGTTCTTAAAAAAACCACCACAAAACACTGTCTCCTAGCGGTTGTTGGCTCAGCAGCAAAAAGCGCAGAATCAAAGAAGCATGCCTTCTGGTGGTCGTCAACAGCAGGAGCAGCAGGTAAATAAATATGTTTATTATTAACTTTTCAAACTATCTTTAAAAACTGTTCTTCATCCTGAGCTGCATTTCTTGTTATAAATTGTAGTAAAGCCTGCAAGAGTGAATGGGGTTTTGACTTGGCTTAGTGCTGGGGTTTTGCTGTGCTAAGATTCACAGAACCCAAAGATGTGTTTCTTTATCTTTCTTTAAAAGTGGAAAAGCTTTTGCCTATTTATATTGTAACTGCTCTGTCTTTTTAAGGGTCGATCTCTTAGTATGCAGCAACAGATGATGCAACAGTCCCGTCAGCTTGATCCAAACCTGTTAATGAAGCAGCAAACTCCACCCTCTCAACAGCAGTCACTCCATCAACCCACCATGAAATCTTTCCTTGAGAATGTCATACCCCATGCTACTCCTGAGCTACAAAAAGGGCCATCACCAATAAATGCATTCAGCAGCTTCCCTATAGGTGGGTTTCTCTGCACTAATTTCATACAGTCAATTAATGCTCATAAGGCACACAGCCTTTCTTTTCACGTTGCCTGTCTCCTCTGAAAACAATAGTGATTGTAATCCCGTTAGCACTTACAATTTTAATGGAAGTAGTAATTCTTTGTGGGGCTTATCCAGTTATCTTTGTTCACCAAAGAACTTCTTTTTCCACAAGTACACTCATTCCCAGAAGTGACTGTTGGTATTTCAGTGCTAAATGCTTTACGTTCTTAAAGAATGTGTATCTCCTTTTATTTCTTTTTTTATCTCTGGGTCCCAAGGATGACACAAAGTCCTTTTGCAGCTATGATTCCTTGAGCTAAAGGACTTTTAGAATACATACAAAGAATTCATTGATGTAGTCTCATTTCTTTGGATTTTAAAAAAATTTTCAATGAATTGGGAATTACAAAGGTAGACCAAAATGTTACTTTCCCTTTTAGTGGTTTTATCCAGGAAAGAAAGCTTTTAGCTCTGCATTTTTAAAGAATGGTTGTCTCATTTCAGGCAAAGTGTCTGAACACTTATAAATACAAACGTCTGCTGTTTCTTTCTCCCTACATTTCCAGGCTTCTGTCCAATTTCTACTTCAGAAATTCCAGGCTTGTATATTTTCTCCTTACTTTAGGTCCCTTTTTAATGCTATCTTATACTTACTACAACTGTATACCATTTACCTCTTGTTCTTTATCCCCTTTTTTTTTCTCTCCTCCTCTTCAGTTTTTGCTTTTCTTCTACGTTATTCTAATCTGATCATTTATGTTGGGCTGATTTCTTTTGCATTCTCATTGCCCTTTGTAGAAAAGTTTGTTTATTTAATAGAGACTGCTGCTGAAGTCCTTGTGCTTATAGGTGGAGCGTTATGGAGCCAGTGGGTCGGTGCAGACCATGCTGTTGCACTGCATGTGGCACACTGGAATTCTGCTTGTGGCCAGTCTTAAGTGCAGGCTGCTGCTTAATAGTTGCTGATGATTGGCATCAAGATCTAACTACTGCTTTCATTCAAAGGGCAAGGCATAAACATGAAGTTTGTTTAGCTATTAGAGGCACTATGTTAGGTCTAATGAAAGGAATATTTAACTTTCTCGCCAAACTTCATGCTGAGTAATTGCATTCTGCCTACATTAGGTTCCTTTCTGTTTCATTTCTTGAGTTGTTGTATACTATTGTTAAGTAGCTGCTTTCTCACCTTAATCATTGCCACATTTCAGGAACCTGCAGTATATGTAAGATTGCTTTGGGATCCCTTTGGAGTAGTACTGTATAGTGATACAAGAAGTGGAACGACACTCGGTCCACAAGTAAAAGCTTAAAGGTAGAAATAGTAGGTTGCTGCAACTTCTTCACCCTTTAGTGGAAAACTAGGTCAAGAGGAGTATTGGTAGCATCCTCCGAGTGCACAAAGTATCGTAGCATAGGCATGTAGGGAAGGAGCTGAACTTGCCCAGTTGTCTTCTGGAAAATCTTGCAGGTATGTTATTTTCTCCATGTTCTAATATTAGCATCAGGACACCTAGCAACAAAAGAAGGGAGGTCCTGTTTGCGTTCTGGGGAACTGAGTTTGTTGAGATTCACCAGATATTGTTCATCAAAAGCAGAGATTGGGCACGGGTGAGGGGGGTGTCCTTCTCTCTAGTTGACCAGTGCTGCAGTCACATCCCAATTCATTTATAGAATTAAGTCTTTCTAATATTAAAAATAACTTTTTCTGCCAAATAGTGAGTATAGCTGAACAATTTAAAATCTTCCACAATTGGATATGAAGAATTACTCCTGGGAAGACTGTTTAAATTATAGATTATGTCCAGGGACTGATGTTCATCCATCAGTCCACAGGTTTCAAATACTAAGCTGTGGACATACATCTGTGCCTGCCAGGGGGCTGGCATTAACTTTATCAGCTACATGTGCCTATTTGCCAGCTTGTGATCTTTTTAACCCTTCTTTTAGAGGTGTCTTCTGCAAGCTTCTTCAGAGTTAGAAGAAATGTTTTTGTTGTGCACAGGTTATTGCTTTGCCAACAGCAAAATGCCAGAGGGAGAGGTGTCAGAAACTGAATTGATTGGACTTTTTCCTTTTTTCTGTTTCAGCTATTGATAGTTGTGATGTTTCTTAAAACTTGGCTGTCCTGTTACAAGACACTTTCTCTGAGGCTTTTCGAGGGGCTGCTTTTCTGGCATCAACATCTGCTCATGCCTTTAGGAAAAAACAAGTGGAAAAAACCAACCAAATAAAAAACCCAAGCCAGCTTCTATATGGCAGTGAATATCGACTTAGGAACAAAATTAAGCACTAGTTTCCAGGGATGAATGAAGGTGTTTCTAGTAGAGATTTGAGAATTTCCCTGTATGTCTCTGGCCCTAAGTTAAAATGTTGTAGTGGTTTATTTTCAGAAATGAAGCGAATAGATCTGAAGGGCTGGAAATGTAACAGGTATGGTTGTGAATTAAAGGTTCTTACAGACCTGGAAAGAGAGCAGGCATGCCAAAGTCAAAAGCATGGGCACATTGCTCGAGCCTAGACTAGCGGGTTCTTACAGATGCTTGGATTGATTTGGGTTGGCATTGTGTTTATTCTCTGACAGATAAACATTTTGAAATACAGACAACAGCTTAGAACAGGCAAAGACAAGTTTTGATGTTTTCTCTTACTGAGGTTTCAGTACAGTGTGAAGAGGATAAATGGAGGAGGGGAGTAGTATTACTTGTGCAGTTCCACACAAAGTGCTTATCTCTGTGCTAGTGTGGAGCTGGCGAGGTGTCCTGTTGAACAGCCCAAATAAGAATGGGAATTTCTCCTGCTGAGAAAAGTGTCTTTTAGAACTGAGCGTAGCTTGTTGAAGTACAGTACTTCTGCTTTGTACAGATGAGATCAGTTGTGCTGGTGCTAGACTGGTGTCAGAAATGCCACATTTTTTTTAGATGTTTACATTTTATTTTCTCTAACTTCCTCAATGGCTTCTTCCACTGACATTTCTGCATGAAGACATGCGCCGAGAACTTCAGAGTGCCTTGCATTGCTTAGCTTAGCTTCTGTCTATACTAAGTTCACTGTATTAAATGCTAGAATGTTTCTCAAAAACAGAGACTAGGAAGCATGAAATAACCATAGTAATATGCTCTTAAACTTTTATTAGGACAATAATGGTAATTAGCAAAAGAAAAACATTTAGTCTGTATTTCACAAGCTGTATGTGTTTTTAGGAATGAACTCAAACTTGAATGTAAACATGGATATGAGCAGTATTAAAGAGCCACAATCTCGATTGAGGAAATGGACTACAGTTGACAGCATTTCTGTGAACACATCATTAGATCAAAACTCCAGCAAACATGGTATGTTAAATATGTCATTAAGCAGTATTTGACATTATGCATGAGATTTTCATGTTCTGCATATAAAATGCAGGGTTGCTATATTTAGGCCTGTAGTTGTAACTACTGTGTTGCTTGTAGCTGTCAGAATTTGTCTTGTGTTATCTGTGCCAAACTTGCTGCTTGTCCTGTACAGCAGCCCTTAGCTTTCCTGAACGTTTTTACTTACAGAAGTGATCTTGTGATGAGATTTAGTAGAAACCTTGTGCAGAATTCCTTTTTAACCAGACTTTTCTTTAAGCGTGACCATTGCTACTAGCTTTACCTTAATCTGGATTGGAATGCTTCATATATTTTTTTAAAACCTAAAGCTTTAGATTTTCTCGCTTTGTCTCCCCACCACCTCCCACTGACCTTAAGGTGGTTTATGGGGATTTAACTCTGTGCACGCATTCTGGTCACGTCTGACATTTGTAGTTATAGGTTTTGGTTATGAATGTGTACGTTTGCATTCTAAAAATGGGGAGAACTTAGAAGGGGTAGGCTAGTACCATTGCTGTACTTAGTTTTAGAGAAGGCGGAATTGGTTGCTTCATATTTCATTCCAGTAATCAGGATTCATATGACATTTCAACTGTTTCAGTTGCTTGAAATCTCATCCAGTTAAAATTTGAGTCTATAGCACAAAGGTTCTGTGTCTAAAGATAGTTATAAAATGTCTCCAGTCTCCTGTTACTGTTCAGTCTTCAGATTGTTTGGATATTTTTAGATCTGTCAGCTGTTTTACTACTATGAAATGACTTGCTGCCTTAAGCATCTAGTGGAGATATCCTGGTACTGCACTTCTGAACTTCATCTGGTTGTTACAGATGAACAGAAGTTGGTAGTGTTGGTGTTACTTTAACTGTAGGTAATGTTTTCTGAATAATACTAGGAATTTGATTATTTCAATTCCATATTGCATTGAAACACTAGTAAAAGTCATTTACTTCCTCAAAATTGTAGGATATCTTTGGCTTTGCTGTGTAATAACTTCTAGACTTCTCCTTACAGACTTGCACAGAATCAAATAGATTGTGTACAGTGCTTTCGTTCCTTGCTCTGCCTCCAGTGATTTTTATTTTTCTCCCCTCCCAAGAATATGAGTAGAATTTACAGAGCTTTGCAGTGGCTAAAGATCGTTCAGGTTTTGTAGATGTTCCTTCCAGGAGCCCTCCCATCAGAGAATATATTCACTACCCCTGTTACCCAGTTGAGGTCTCACAGAATGCTCTTACCCTCTTGAATTAATATTTTGCTTAAATTTAATAAGTATACTACTTTAATGAGATGATTTCATGGGAGATTATTCTTTCGGTATTCTCATGAATTGTTCGGAGACATAGCATTTTAGAGTATGTAATCCTGTATGCCTTCCTGTATAACTTGACATCATAAGTGGACAGTATGCTGCTATATATTTCATGAATGTTTTACAGGGGTATATTTGTATAAGGATATGAAAATATAAACATTGGCTATGAAAAATATTTTATGACTTTTTTTTTTTAATTAGGTGCTATTTCAAGTGGTTTTAGGCTGGAAGAGTCTCCATTTGTTCCATATGACTTTATGAACAGCAGTAATTCACCAGCCAGTCCTCCTGGATCTATTGGGGATGGCTGGCCCCGTGCCAAATCGCCTAATGGCTCTAGCAGTGTTAATTGGCCACCAGGTAGGCAACGCCGATGCTTGCTTTTTGCATGGTTCTTACTGTTCAGCTGCATTTCTTCTGGGTTCCTTGGTCATTACATGTGGAGGAGACAGGGAAACAGCCTACAGAAAAGCATTAAGGGTGTGGTTTTATCAGATGAAAATTGAGAGCAGTAGTTTTAGTGTACAAAGAGAAGCGTATCTTCCTGCTTTGAGATTTTACACTGGTGAGACAGGACCAGAAAAACTAGAAATGAAGTGAATAAAGTGAAAAGATGACTGAATTAAATGCTTAAAAGGTTTTGGATTTTCAGTCATTTTCAGTATTGTTTAGACAGCTATTTCCTGTTTAAAAAAAAAAAATCAAAATAAACTTCTTTTCTGAATCTCTATTCCTAGAGTTTCGTCCTGGTGAGCCATGGAAAGGTTATCCAAACATCGACCCTGAAACTGACCCTTACGTCACTCCTGGCAGTGTCATAAACAATCTTTCAATTAATACTGTGCGGGAAGTTGACCACCTCAGGGACAGGAACAGTGGTATGTTCGGATGCTATGTTTTCTAATTGTGTGCTAATCTTCCTTCAGGCACACAGAGAGACTGTTTACTTGGAGATGTGTTTGCTACTTGCTCTTCTCCTTGTTTGTCTCTTACATTGTGGATTTCACAGCTGAAAAGCTCATCTTTGGCTCAAGCACTGCTGCTTCGTGCAATGTACCAGATATTCCAAGAATGCGGGTAGAGTGAGCAAACGCTGCTGATCTGCATTCTGATGTAATTCTGTGCACAGAGAGGCAGTGTGTTTGCAAGTAGACAAGCAAAACTTGGCAGTCTAGCCATCGCAGTACTGTAATGAGCTTTGTTTGCAGTGAGTGCAGGGTGCTTCCTGCCGTTGAGCGTGCCTTTGGATGAAGGATGAGCACTGAGAAGAATGGAGGAGGTCCCCGATCTGAGTGTGCAGATGTGTTCAGTCTGAACTACGAGTCATGCCTTTTAATTGCAGTGCATTTGTGATGCACTGTGCTGTGACTGACTTCTGTCTTTATTATAGGGTCATCCTCATCTTTGAACACCACGCTGCCTTCAACTAGTGCCTGGTCATCCATTCGTGCCTCCAACTACAATGTTTCCCTCAGCAGTACAGCACAAAGCACTTCAGGTGATGTCTGCTTGTATTGCTCTGAGCTGACGTTTCTTCCCCTTCATGTACTTCGGGGAGGGGTACTAAATGCTAATTAAAAGTAATCCTGAGGTCTCATCTGAGTGGTAACTTCACTAATTTTCAAAGTAGCTATTTTGATTTTACTCTAATATAGCAGCTTTTATTTGTAATAAGCTGACGGTTCCAGCAGCATAGTGATTTTGATTGTCTTTACGTATCTTTTAGTAGCCAGAAACAGTGATTCCAAATCAACATGGTCTCCTGGATCAGTCACTAACACCTCTCTGGCTCATGAGCTGTGGAAGGTCCCTTTGCCACCTAAAAGCATCACTGCTCCGTCCCGCCCACCTCCAGGGCTGACAGGCCAGAAACCACCGTTGTCCACTTGGGATAATTCCCTTCGTCTGGGTGGAGGATGGGGAAATTCTGATGCCAGATATACCCCTGGTAAGGATGTCTTTTTGCGTACGGAGGGGTTTTGTTTTGTTACCGAGCTAGGGAGTCTCCTGTGCATTTGGTTAGATAATCTGTCACTGTTAGGTAACCTCTGTACCATTTGTCTTGCTAAGAGCAAAAGCTGGTCTGTATATCCTAAACTGCATTGCAGAAGATTTTCTGCTCCCCAAAATTGGGAGGGGGCTAGGTATTGTACGCAGCAGTAACATGGATGGTACTAATCTGTTTTTTCTGTCCTTAGTATGAATCATCTCTCCAAGGGCTTTTTGAATTTGACATCTGTGCAGCTGAATGCAGTTGCCTATTAAACATTTTTCACAGAGTGGCTCATACCATAACGAATTGGATCATGATAGTACAGGGAGTCATCAGACAGGCTACAAAACTATTCTGAG